GCCCGGCTGATTTTTTTAATTATTGCAGAGATGAGGTCTCGCTGCCCAGGCGGGTCTCAAACCCTCGGGCTCAGGTAATCCACTCACCTCAGCCTCCCAAAAGTGCGGGATTACAGGCTGAGCCACTGAGCCGGCTTGATGTATTCATTTTATTAACAATTGCAACGAAACATTCAATATAGGATCTCAAGAATATTTTAAATTCACTATTTCTACAAGTAAGAAAAGTGCTAGAGAGTTATTTCCCCAATTTTTGACTGATAGGCTGGTAAACTGAAGCCTGGAGTAGTGAAGAGGCTTGTCCTTCCATTGTGAAGGTGGAATACAGATGCAAATCTCATAAAACCTAAGTCAATTCTCAATCCATTCTATTGCATTGTTCTATAAAAATAGGGCACTCTTGTGGCTTTGTTTTGCTTAATTCTTTGTTTGAAGATTGCTGGGACCAGACAGATGGCTGTTACCATTGCCCAGATGTTTTTAAACAGGCAATTCTTGCTGCCCAGCATGTTGATCAGGTGTCTTTTACACTGGTATGAATGTTGTTTTAATTCAGGCTGAAATATATGAGCAGGTCATTTCCAAAGACAACGGAGATTGCTTAAATCAGAGGGGAACACAGGGTCTCAGAGCTGAAAGTAGCCATAGAAACCTTTATCCACTCTCTTATTTTACTAGATGAAGAAACTAAGATTGTAAAATGTGTCGATGTATGAGTTACACAAATATAAAGCATAACACCTTTTGAACCAAATTAGAACACTGATTCCAGTTTGTCTATTATGACAAAATGAGGGGGGAGGTATAAACCAGCCTCTATTCTGTAAGTAGTTTGGATGATCAAATAAGAAAATGTAAACAAGAAAACCAATAGTCATCAAAATTATGAATAGTTGCTAGTGTAATAAACACATTGAATGTTCAGATATGAACATTAGTTTAAATTTGAACTAAGAAAAAAGATGTGTAAGAAATAAAGTTAGAAGCTAAGAATGCTAGGATGAGGCTTAAACGTCATGGCAACCTGACCCATGCCTGATGATCGAACCCCTGGTTGTTTACTTCTTATTTCTTTATATCTGAGAAAAATCATTTCTATATACTGCTGCCTAAGACCCTTAATCTTTGGTTCAAATATATTTCTAACATACTGTCTTAATTGTTTTAACTTATTTTGTGTTAAAATGCATACAAAGGTTTTTCTCTATGAGATTATAAAATAACATTATAAATATTTCAAA